TGGGTTACCCGTGCATGCGCAGCACCGCCTGTGCTAGGAGTAGCCCTAACCCGCCTGCTTGGCCAACCAAGCCATGTGTGCTTCGGTCTTGTGTGTGCATCACCCTGATGCTCTTTCGGGCCATTGCGCTCGTGTACTTGCAATCCCCACGCTGTGAAAAATGAAGGTCGGGCGCCTGCGTTTCTTTGTGTGCAAGGGTTCCACTTGGTTTCGCATGTGTTGTGCATCATACACTCTTGTGGATGTGATGTGAATACTTGAGTATTGTTTTGAAGGATGTATTTTGCCAAATTGGCTCAAACCATCTGGCTCAACAATAAAAAACGACGACCCATCCCGGGGAGAGCGGTCTAAGGGGTCCTAGGTTTGTTAGATAGTTGCCTTTGCCCCATTAGGGGTGCCCTTCTCGCCGACCTCCCGTGATAGGTTAGAAGGGGTGCTGAGGTCACGGGAGTGCGTAAATCCCCATGTTGAAAAACAGTCCTGCGTGTGCAACTTTGGCCTTTATTCAATACTGATTGTATGATTGCACATATCTTGATTGAAGATTTCAATTTTGAATAGATTGGATTTTTGAAATCCACTTTTGAAAAGCGGATTGTTTTGTGAGGCTGTTTCTTCTTGATTTGCTTATGCGGATTTTGGAGTGCTTTCCAGAAGACTTTGGGAAATAAACACGCCTTCGTTGCGGTTGATTTTTGGGAGCCTTTTGCATGTCATGTGGTCAATGGCAGTTTTGGTGGCTCGAATGCGAGCGTGATTAAAATTTTTTGTCCCGCCTCCCGTCCTGGGGTTGGGTTGATCCTTCGTGCCGCATGGTGTTCCGTGGTTGAGGGAGGTATGCCTTCTTGGTTGTGCCAATGCGTGTGCGCATGCAATTGTACACAATCCGTACCCCATTTTTGCAAAACAGGAAGTCCGCATTGTTCTGAGCTTTGAGTGGTTTCATTCATCGAACATTTGATGGATCCGCTTTTATTGTGCGGATTGTTTTGTGAGGCTGTTTCTTTTTGATTTGCTTATACGGATTTTGGAGTACTTTCCAGAAAACTTTGGGAAATGAGCACATGATTTTTTTTGAATTTGAAGTGTTTATTCTGAACCTGAATCATAATAACACATTGGACAGAATTGTGATGGTGACAGTGGCGCATTTAGCATCATTTGGCACAACAATACCTCAGTTGAAGCTCAAGCATAACATTGTTTGTGCAAACGTGAAAGCTGAAAAGCTCCAAACTTGTCCTGCATGCTTCTGAGATCAAAGCTTTCAAATCTGTCAGCATTTGTTCTATTTTGCTGAGCCCCATAGCGCAAAGAATGCTCGTTTTGATGCTCATGCTGTATACCCGATCAATTATAGGACGAGCCCTGATCCACATGGTATCCTCGGATTTCCGGTTATGCGACATACCATTTCCAGTCCTTGGACGCTTTCGTGTCGAAGTAGCCTTGTTTGCCTGTTGACCGCATGCCATATGTGGTGAACCATGTGCATTCTAGGAAGCTTCGTTGGTTTGAGCAAATCCATCTGCAGCGTTTGAGTCAAGACCGTGGGCTACTGGGCATTTCTGCCAAAGCCAACAAGACGGCGCACCCTTCCCAGTTGCTTCAGTTTCATCAGGCATGTGCATGGCATCCTGATTAGTGCGATGCTTCCCGTGTTCATAGCTGAGCTTTTCCCAGCTGACATTCGGAGTTTGTCATTTCCAGGTGCGCGCGGTGTGGCTCCGGTCTTTTTTTCCAGAAATAATAAGAAAAATCAGCGAGGCTGGAAGCATCTACGCTGTTTGGGGTTAGGTTGTGACTTCCGCAAAGTGCCCTGTGCCAGGTCCAGCGGCGACCTCACTCAAAAGAGCGAAATGAGGCTGGCTTGGCGTAGATCCAGTAGCTTGATGCATGAAAGGGAGTCTGGTACACATTGGCCATTGCATGACACTGCATTAAAATTACTTTTGGAATCGGATATTGGGTTGAAGTCCCATCGTGGTTGGGCGCCAACAAACCATCCGATGCAAGTGCTGCTGCAGGCGCTCCGGTGCTCGGAAGACCGCAGGGCGGCGACCAGGTGAGCATTTTCGAAGCATAGGGGCATAGGGGCAGAAGTCGCGATGATACGCCCAGCAGCCGTTCAATCGGTTTGCATTTTCAAAGTGTGCTTTCTTGTTATGTGTATGGAGAATGCTGACTACCAAGTTGCATGTGATTGTGCATTTTCAACATGCTTCCAGATGCCGCCGCAGATGAGCAGCCCAAAGTCGCTCTGACTTGTCTTTTTGTCTTCTTGTGGGACACATTTACAACTCGTAACTTCAACGTCAGTAGCGCATCTAGCCATTCCTTTGGATGTTTATGAACATGGTCTTTGCCGTCGTGACAGGAGCAGTCTGGTCTCCGACGCAGCAAATCAATGGGATCACGTTCAGAGCTGGCAAACATGGTGGCATGGCTGAGAGTTCCAGTAGCCACTTCTTCACACCTAGCTACGTGAGTCGGGTCATTTTGGCTCAGGTGGAGCAATTGTCCGAAAAAAGCGGCAGCGGCTCGGTGCGCATGCTGACGCGCGCAGGACCTTTCAGACGTACCTCTAGTCGGCACGTTTGATGCAGAAAGGTTTGCACCTGTCAGCTGTGCTTTCTCAGCAGGCCTTTGCTTGGCGATGGGAGTCGTCCTGGTGGCAGGCTACCACACGCCTCGCCCTGACTTTTTTGTCACTTTGCCCAGAGTCAAAACATGGAGTTGCACATCTGCAATACCGTAGGCCGGTGTGGCTTGTCCCCTTTGGCATCGTGTTCGAGGGAGTATCGCTGGCGTGGTTCTATTTGATTCAAAAGGACTCGCTGCATTAATTCTTTTGCAGCAGCGGCAGAGCTTGCGTTCGTGTGTCGTTTGTACTGACTATTTGGGTCATCAGGATTGCGAAAAGGGACACTTTTTCCCAAGCTCTTCGTTGAATACGGTGGTCTCTTACCTCCTGCGTGGCAGACTCAGACGAAGCCCCCCCAGATAGGGGTATATTGTTACTATATTATTATTATATTATTACTATATTTTCATTGCTACATTATTACATTATTATTATTAGTATTACTATTATTGATACTATTATTATTAGTACTATTACTATTATTATTATTATTTCTATTATTATGATTGTTATCGTTTTATTACTATGTTGCCATCCCCTCCTCTCTTGCCGAGGCTGGGAGCTGCACTTGGCGGTGGCGATTTTGCTCACTGCGACACAGGCCAACCGTGGGTTCAAGTTTCGGAGCTGCCCTAAACCCCAAACCCGAAACCCTATACCCTAAACCCTAAACCCTAAACCCTAAAACCCTAAAACCCTAAACCCTAAGCAGGTGTGGAGCTTCGGGGCACTGCTCAAGTTCTGGCTTTTGCCCTTCCTGGTGATGCAAGCCACCTTGGCCACAACTACAAATGCCGATGAGGCAAGGCATTGCGCATGCCGTCTTCCTCTGACAAAAATCCTGACGGTTTCCCAAAATTAGGGATACCTTTTTGGGGGTCCCCACCAATAAGGATTATAGTATTTGAGGGTCTCTATTGGGATCCCTTTATTTCGGGAAACTAGCAATGGCTTTCAGTGTGAGGATGGGGCCAAGAAACAGCGACAGCCCGGACTCAGCAAGTCTCCTTCCATGACTTCGCTCCATGACTGCATGGTATAGGTTGTTACTCACTTGGATTAAGACGCCGTGGGCACGATTCTCTGAGGTTGGAGCTTCTTTTCCCGGAACTTGAGCGGGTGCCTTACACACCTAGAACCTTTAGAGAGTCATGTACAAGCTGTGAAGCATTAGAGTCCGCCGTTTTGCAGAGGCATCTTTGAATCTGCTACGTGAGGTCAACGGCGTCGCAAGTCAGCGATTTGCTTGACATTGCGCAGCAAGCAGACCAGTCGTCGGTCTTCCGACGCCAGGTGACCTTGGCAGTTCTTGTTCCCATGCTGGCTTTGGTATCCTTATCGGTCCTTCATGTCGCGTGGAGGGTTTTTGGATGGAGCGTGTGCGCAGTTTCTAGATTTGTACATGACAGGTGAGTGGTGATCAGGATGAAGAAGAGGATTGCCCGCTTCGCCTCTCACTTCGCATAGCCATGCATGCTCTAGATCTTGGAGTCCTTTTAGCAGAGCAGCCTCATGTGCAGGACTGGCAGTTTGGGGTTGCACTCCATCAAATTCCAATGTGCCATACTCAGTGCCCGGTTGGCTTGCAGAGGAAAGGGGAAGGTCCAGTGACAGCGCAGCAATAAGGTATCAGCTACAACGCCTGTCCAAGAACCTTTCGAAAGAATTGCAGCGTGCGCGTGACTTTGCTGCAGACCAGATCTCTGAGCCAAAGGGTTCAGTATATGTTCCCTAGTTTCGATTGATTTTCCATTTTCTTTTCCATTTGATTCTCCATTATGCCCTAGTATTATCCCAATGCAGCCCCAATATAGGTCCTTGAGCCAAAGGGTTCAGGTCTTAAAGAACGGATCAAAGGCAGCTCTCTCTGCATAGGTTGCTCTGTACAACTTCTCAAGAGTATATTGGGAAAATGGAAAATGACGTGGAAACTACTATAGTATATTGGGGTTATAGTGGGATGATGGAAAATAAAATGGACACTGCTAGAGTATAGTGGGGTTATAGTGGGAGAATGGAGAATAAGATGGACACTACTATACTACAAAGATCTCAGCTGGTCTAGCTCATTATTGGAATCCTGGCATTTCCTGGTCCAAGACAGCTTCCACATCAAACGCTGAACCCCCTAAACCCTAAACCCTAAACCCTGAACCCTAAACCCCGCACAGCAGCCGAGGCAGTGGAAGTTTTGGATCCAATGCGGACCTGGCAGGGCTGGCGCAATCAGGCTCTGAAGAAAACCTGCAAAGACTTCGGGAGGCCCCGGAAAGGGTTTCAAGGCATGTGAGCTATAGTCTAAATTCCTAGTATCCCCCTTAATAACCCCTATAGCAGTCCCCTATATAATCCCCATATATCCCCCCTTATGGAGTTTAGACTATAGCTCATGTTAGTTTTCCCCAAAAATTGGAGCCCCACTGTACACCCCAAATTGTTTTGCTCCTTACTATAGGAGGCCCTTGAATTTTTGGAAGAACCTATGTCATGTTTACTGCCGTGGTTTGAGTGAAAGCCACCCTGAAAACATCATGCTGCAGGCCTCAAAAGCAAAGTCCAAAAAGCGGCCGCACCCTCGGGTCTTGTTCTACTGCAAGACTTGTGGACATTCTTGGACATTATTGCTCATATTCATCACTCCGAGCTTCTTCGTCTTAGATCTTCACTATTCTTTCCTACTCGTGGGTACTGGGTGCTCCGTGTGTTGCAGATTGGTCTGTTGTCCAAAGGTCAGCCAAGAAGAAGACTCCATTGGAGCAAATCCTTAATGTGATCGGCTGGCCGGCACCTTTGCTCAATAAAGGGCCGAGGACCTCTTAACGAGGCTGGGAGTGTTGAGGGGTCCCTGATTGGAGAACCAGGTGAGTTTAGGCTTTTCTTATTTTGTCTTGGATTTGCAGAAAGTGTTGGTGGATTATGCAGATGCAATTGTTGGGGCCTAAGCCAAGATTTCACACCTCATCCCTGACACACTGTCTGGACTGTCTTGTTCTCCGCAAGATCTTGAGGCACGCTATCTGTTTCGAGAGATGTGGTTGTGGACGGAGAGGGACCTTACCCTTTATGCTGTGGTTTCGCTCTTCTTGGTGGAGGTTTATGCTGCTTGGACTGAAAGGGAAGCCGAAGCACATGGTGTCGTACAAACTTCCATGTGTCGGAGCGCTGAGGTTGGAATGCAGTACTTTGCTTGGTCTCCCGTCTGTTTGCTCTATCCCATCCTCTCGAGCTCTTCAGGCCAGTGCCTGTTCCCATGCAACGATAAGCGTTGATGCTTTACTCAGCAGACGTCAGCTGCACTTTGCGGTTGACAGGTTCGAGGAAAGCTCAAGAGTTGCAAGACGAGCTTGTGATGATTTTTGCGCCCGAGTCGCTCTGCTCAGCTTTATTTTGCCTTTTGCTTGCTGCCTGGGCGGTGGCGGTGAAGGCTGTGTGTTTGGCGATCAAGACTGCAGGTATCGATTCTGGCGCAGAGTGAATATTCCGGTGGCTATCCAGGTGAGTCTGGAATTATCAGTTTGAGCTAGGAATAGCTGCCGTGCTCCCATGTCGATATCTTCAGGTCCTCGTATGCCATAACATGACGATCTACTTTTTCCTAGCTCCTCGGCAAGCATTCCAAGACCCCCATTACTTGCAGAAGCTCGTGCCACTATTCAAGGTGCTCCTTGTGTCTCCCGGCCAAAGGCAAGCACAGCACAGTATTGCAAATTAAGCTTGTCGGTTGATGAGATGCAGCTTGTTCAAGACGTAGCCTGGCCGCAGGGATCTGTATGTGGGGAAAACCCCATGTTGGCAGACCTACGTTTGGATCTTACCTCCAACATTCAGCTGCCTTTTGCGGGTAGCTTCGAACCAGAAGAACAGGTCTGGGCATTTCTCCTGCTGGTGGCAAGCTCAGCTTGCACATGCTGCGCACAATAGGGTGGAGACTGTGTCGGGCTTGCGCAGGTCTTCTCCATCGTGGGAATGGTTGGAACTAACCTGGTTTGGGCTGTGGGCAGCCTCCGTCCGAGCTTGCCCCAGAAGGCAGGTGCAAGTGAAATTTTGAAAGTTGATGGAATGGCTGCAGAAATGCCTGCAGGTCGCCCTCATGATATGCCAATCACTTGCGAACCAGGCTCTGCAATTCATCTGCTGCTGATGGCAGCAAAGTGTGCAAGAAATGGACAAAGTTCCTTCATGCAGGGTTCAATCTTCCGGTGGAGCCGCGATCAGCGATGTCATTTGAAGAACAAAGGCCAGACTTTTGCACAACATACTGTGCAGTTGGTTGTACAATATCCTGTTGGCTGCAAGAGCAGTACTGCAATAACAGCAACTAGTTGTTCAGCAGATCTTTTGCTTGATAGTGCTGCAGCTGTCGAACATGGCAGGTACAGACTCTGATCCTTTCGACCCCCAACGCGGGTGGACCTACCGATACATGGGGTGGTTTCTGATGCACAAGACTCCGAAGATGATTGAGGCCAGGGTAGCCAGCAAGTACACTGCTACGTTTTCGAGGTTTCAGTCAGGCATCAAGGGTGAGGGCTGAAGGTATGTCATCCAGGTCTGGATGTTCTCCTGTAAGTGCAGGGCCCTAACCCTGTCTAAGATTCATTAGGTGGTAGTTCAGGGCGCGAGGATCATTTCAGTTTTGCTCTGATTGGCGTTTGCAGGCGATCCAAAATCTGTGAACAACTTCAACGAAACAAAAGCAGGTAACAGAAAGGGCTTAAGTACCAGCTGTGTGCCCGATACTCTCAAAATGGGATTCTACAGCCGGGTCACAATGTTAGCATCCCCACCAGTATTAGCTATCATTGCTGTAACAAGGGTTCCTACTGTGCTTGTTGACTTTACCCTGATTGTTGTGGTTTCCATTTTCATTTTAGTATTGCTAGTGTTGTTTCTAGTAACATACTCTTGTAAAAAGGCTTTGTCCAACCTGAGTTAGTAACCGCCGGGTTCCGCGAAGCAGTCCCAGCTTCAGCTTATGAGACTGCCAGGCTACCCGATCCGTGGATGTTCAAGATCTCCTCCTTGACCAGGCCCTTGACCCAGACCTGCTGCAATTGCAAGGTTGAACGAGAACCTTGGTTCTAATGCTTGCGAGGGTGCATCCACACACATGTGGCCAAGAGTGCATATCCCCACCTTACTGAGGGTTAGGAGGGGAATAAGGGAATTTAATCCCTATATTATGCATTCCCCTAGTCCCTACTCACCCCCAGCAAGCTGCGTTGTGCGCAGTGGGGACTAACCCTAAACCCCAAACTCTAAACCCTAAACCCTGTTGATTTGAAGGTCGTGATGTTTCAAGCCGACGTGGATGCATGGTGGAACTTGTCTTTTTGCCATGCCATCCCAGCTTTCGCTGCCTGGCTGCAAGGAAGTCCCAAAACTAGGGGTTTGCGGGTTAGCTTTCAAGGAATTATATGGGATATGTAGGGGGTTCCATAAGGTTATATATATATATATGTATATGTATAGACTTATAGAGCTTGGGGATTAGGAGCTAGTGTAGGGCATCAGTCTGAAGATGCAGCTGGCGCTTCCTTCCAAGGTTTCGCTCCTTTGGGGTGAAGAACTCTTCCTGGGATGGGTCATTGCTGGCTGCACCAGGCCCGAAGCGGAAAGGGCTAGTGCCTTCGTACTTTAGGGCTTTAGTTCTCAGCCAGTTGTTCCCTAAACCCTAAACCCTAAACCCTAATCCCTAAACCCTGAACCCCCTCCGAACCTTTGCCTGCAGGTCGGTGCTTGCGCTGCACATCAACCTCATTCTCCTGCGCCTCCAGCACCTTTGGTGCCCGCAGAAAGTCCTCATCACATCTGCGGACTCTTCCGAGGAGGAGGAGGCTCCCCACGGCAGAGCTGGAGCTTAATGTAGGGATAATGGAAAAGAAAATGGAAACAACCATAATATATAGTATATTGCTATATAGTATATTGGGTTTTTATAAAGGATAATGATCGGATAATGGAAAAGAACATGGAAACTACTATAATATATAGGGTATATATTGGGGTTATATAGGGATAATGGAAAAGAAAATGGACACTACTATAATATATAGGGTATATATTGGGGTTTATTTAGGGATAATGGAAAATAACATGGACACTACTATAGTATATACTATAATATATAGGGTATATATTGGGGTTATATAGGGATAATGGCACATAAAATGGAAGCTCACATCGGCTTTAGGGATCAACAGTGGAGAAGCACATTGAAAGGAAACATCAACAAATGAGCTCAGAGGTTTTTAGGTGTACTGCAACAGTCCTGGGTTCCCAAAAGCTGCGCACATGTAGCATGAGCATGCATATGTGAATTCAGCAGGATCTGATGGCGAAGAAGAGTTTCACTCGGCAGGCCGGAGATGACGGATCGTGCAGAATCGAAATGTAGTAAGCGTTCAAGAATCCTACTGACATGAGCTTTGTCCAAATAGGAGAGTATTATAGGGGCTTATCAAGGGGATACCAGGAGTCTAGTCTATAGCTCACATAAGTCTCGGCGTTTGATCTTCTTGGGGTTCTTGGTCGATCATGTTATCCTTAGAGACAGTCTGATGATGCATTATGATGATCCCTACAGTCGCTTGCACTAGCTTGCGCTTGCTGACCCAGAGTCACCATGTCACTTCCTGCTGACACGGTGTTTCCAAAGGTAAGTGTCCCTTTCTGAGGGTCCTTAGACTGAGGGTTCTAGTATTTTGGGTCTACATTGGTCCCCTCAAAACCCTAAACCCTACAGAAACTTCTGCCAGGTCTCCGAGCAGACGCGCCGCAAAGGCACAGAGCACCAACCGGCACTGCTGCGTTCTGCCGGGGCCTTGGCCACCTCAGCTACGGTATCCCAGTCGAAAGGAAAATCAAATGGAAAAGAAAATGGAAAAAGGACATGGAAGCTCTAGGTCCCTTAAACGGGGTATACCCAGAATGGAAGAATGGAAAAGAACGTGAAACATGACACGAAAACCACTACAAGTTCAGGGAATCAGGGTTCAGTACATGGGATATACGTATTTGTGTATATATATATATATCGAGAATATACATTTCCGGGTCCAGAGGGAGTTTGTTCTTGATCGGCTCAATCACGCATCGGGTTTGGAGCTTTCGTATGTTAGTGCTGCAGTGTTTCTTTCTGTTCCCGTGACCATCCACCGCTGAATCGTGTTGAAGCATAGTTCGGGCCCTCCATTCCTCGCATAGTGCTCCCTGGTCCTCAGGACCTAGGAAGATTGCGATATTACTGTATCACTATATGTATAAAAAATGGCTATATTGCTATATTATTACATTACTATTTTATGCAATTGCTATATTACTATCTTACAATATTACGATATTACCATACTGCTATATTGCTTGTCTTGGATTCCTGAGTTCCAAGTTCTGTACGTGGTTGTGCAAGGCATCGATTGCGGACGTCGGCCTGGCCGCTGAGCAGGAGCCCGGAGGGAATATGCTTTATTCAATGCAGAGATGTGGGATTATATGGGGTTATGCTGGGATCATGGAAAAGAAAATGGAAACTACTATAGTATATAGGGTATATATTGGGGTTAGATAATGGAAAACAAAATGGACACTACTATAATATATAGGGTACATGTAGGGGTTGCTATTGGGATAATGGAAAAGAAAATGGAAACTATTGTTTAGGATATATTGGGTGTCCCTGTTGGGATTTAGGGTGCTACTGAAGATGTTGAAGGCTGACTATGGCTGAAGGATCAATGCAAAGCAGGTTCGCCCCATGGGTTCTCTAGAAATCGCAGTGCGACACTGTGCCCCGCGCCATTTAAGGAAGCTACGAAATCCTTCTTGTCAAGGGATGAGGCAGGCTGAGATCATTATCATCATCATCATCATTGCTGTTGTTGCTGTTGTTAATAAAGGTTAAGTAGTGTTCGACGGAAGACTCTTACCCCAAGCAATGCCTTCAAGCGAAACTTGCGTCCAGGGACCTCGCCCATGTTGCTTGGAAGATTCAAAGTACATAAGCTCTGGACTGTATGGTACAAGATCTACCCAGTGCTTCGAGGCCGTACTCGTTTCCTGAAAAAGCCCTCACAGTTTTCAACGCCCAAACTCCCAGGCCTGTGTTAGGGCCAGCCCTGCATGAAATGCGCGTCCTGAACCCCTCCGCACGAACAACAGCGCGGAGCACGAATCCTCAAACCTGACCCTACTTTCGAAGCTTGAAACCTGCAACCCAACTTGGAAACCTCAAGCCTCAGAACCCTAAGCCAAGCTCTAAGTCCCAGGCTCCACATGCTAAATGCCAAAGCTCTGCAGTACCAGATTTCAAAGTGCTACGTGAAATGCTACGCAAAATCCAGCAAAGGTCTTTTGAAGCATAGGGATATAGTTATGCATGTCAAATAGCCGTAATACTCAACATGATATCTCTCAGAAAGAGGCGTCTAATTTGAGAGAGCCCAGGTGTGCCATTTCTACGACCGACCAGATCCCGAGATCCGCACAAAACTGTTCATACCCTAAACTCCATCAAAACTTTACATAGGCCGTATATAGAGCCTGTGCAAACCTCACGTAATCCTATATAAGCTCTCACTATAACAATCACCAAAGATCCATGAGCCACCTGCAGCGCTCCGAAGCCACAAGGCTTTGGAAGCCCTCCCAACACACTGAACCCAACATTCTGTGACTCTAAGCCCCAGACCTTTAACCCCAAACCCTGAAGCCTTGAAGTTTGAAATCCTGAACCCTAAAACCTCAACGTCTAGAACGAGTCTTCAAAAAATCTGAGCCTCCAATCCCTAAACTTCCCTAAGCTCTGAAGTTTTTAACCGCCGAAGCTCAGCCCATAGGAGAGCCGTGAGTCCCCGGTGCCGCCGCTGCCGCTTGGTAAGCCAGGGCCTTCAGAGGACGGAGGCGGCGTCTTTGTGAAGTACAAGGCTGGGTGGAGGGGGCAGAGGGAATAAAAGGGTTTGCGTAGGGGATATGTTACAGATATATTGGAATAATGGAAAAGAAAATGGAATCTACCATTTAGGGCTTGTGGCTTGGAGTTAGGGGCTTAGGGTTCTGGGTTTGGGTTTTGAATTTCCGTAGGTTCTGCGGCCGCCTCAAGCGGATCCAGTTTGACATTGCCCACCAACAATTTCAAATGTCCAACCTGCGAAAATTACTACCATATGGTATATAGGGGTTATATAGGGATAATGGAAAAGAAAATGGAGACTACCATATAGCATTGTGGGCTGTTTTGCTACCCTGAATGACTGTCAAGGTGTTGCGCTGCAATTGTTGTTGGCAGTTCTTCCTGGTGCGTTGTGGTTATCACATGCCTCCCAGACTGTTCTGGCGGCTGGCTGCCCTAAACCCTAGACCCACAGTTATAGACCTTAAACCCCAACCCCCTAAACCCTAAAGTAGAGAGCCTAAACCCCCCAAAACAATCCTAAACTATAATCAAGCCCGAAACCCTAGCATGGCATTTCAGTGTTCCAATGCTAGATACTAGTTTCCATTTTACTTTCCCTTATCCCTGCATAAACTCAATATATTATATGGTGGTTTCCATTTTCTTTTCCATTATCCCTATATTCCCCCAATATACTATACAGTAACAATTTTCTTTTTCTTTTCCTTTATCCTTGTATAGCCCTAGTATACTACATAGTACTTTCCATTTTCTTTTCCATTATCCCTAAACCCTAAGCCCTATATAGTCTAGCTCTGCAGGTCCACGAGTCCAGTACTGGCGCCGATCCTTCGGTGGAGGTCAAGCTGGAGCCACTTTGGCGCCGCAGCACCCTTGTGGATCTTGCAAAGGACTGCTGCGGTGGTACTATAATACGGGAACCCGCCCGAAACCCTAAACCTTTATCCCGTATTTTGGTAACTGAGTTTAAATTCCTTGGCAGCAGCCCAGTTCATGTCATGCACCTGCTGCAGTCCCCTGTTGCAAGGATGCAGTGGCTGATATCCTCCAGGCCAGCCTGTTCAAGGCTTTCGTTTGTCAACCTTCAGCCGGTTTTCTGGGTTTGAAGGTACAAGCGACTGCCGTGAAGCCAGACCGACCCTTGATGGATTTGGGCTTTGATTCGGCCGGGGCTTTGAAGCTCAGAAATAAGCTGAGCAGGCCGATTCTGCAGCAGTGCGCGTGATTCTCGCTGAACTTCTGCTGTTGCTCAGCTTCATTGCATGTGCCAGGCGCCTGAAGATTGAGCTGCCTCCCACTCTTCTGTTCGATCATCCCACCATCAATGTGCTAGTCCCAGCTTGATGTCTTCCTGGCATTCAGCTGCCTACTAATACTGAGTAGGCTTCAGTGAGCTTGCCCAAATGATTAAGGACATGGTGGATAATGGCATCGCCTTGCTGTCGAAGAGACCGATGACCCCTGTGGGTGATGGTGTTCCCGCTCCTACAGCACAAGGGCCAGTGACGCACCATGCGCCGTGCCTGCATTGCCATTTGCACGTTTACTTTGCTGCTGGCTGCACTTAAACGGGTCAATGTGGCTCCCAGGTGATTGTGTCCACCTCCTGCCAATTTCCTGGCGGCGCCAGCAGCAGCACCTCTGCAAGATGGCAGAGTTTTTTCCTTTCATCGCAAGAGCCAGCATGCTGTCCAGGTTTAAAGCGCTACTGGGACATGTTGGGAGACAAGAAGGATGCCGTTATTGAAGTGCCGCTTTCACGCCTTGCTCTCAGACTTTGCGCCTTTCCTTATTGGTGGTTCTCTAGCACTCACGAAGAAATATGACTCGACTGCTAGCATCCTCCTTGTGGGGCGCGGGAAAACAGGGCAAAACACCCTTCTACGAAGGGTAGGGAATAAGGAACGTAATCCGTATATAATCCCTACATCATATAGTCCTTATCCCATAAAATCCCTTTATTACCCTACATAGTCGCTATATACTACATTCCCTTAGCCCTAATCCCTTATCCCCCATTAAACTCCGGTAAGTTTCTTGAGTATGTGTCGAATTGAGCGTATGTGAGACTCGAGGCTGGGACCACGAGCTGTACTTTTCCAAGGCTGGGGACTGAGATGTACAATTGTTATTAGTGTTCTTATTCCTTTTTATAGTTATCATGAATATTATAGTTGTTATGAATATTGCTATGAGCAATTTTATGAATAGTACTATTGTCAAAACGTTATTAATGTTGTTATTCTTATTAACCTATTCTTATTCTTATTATCATCATTATAAAGTTTACTGTTACTTTTAGTCCTACGAATAACTTTTTTGTTCTTGTTATGTATATTGTTTTAGGTATTACGTATTTTTGCTAATATTACTATGATTATTTTCTTGATATTACTATGTATTGGTAACGGCGCCCCTAACGCGCCCTGCGTCTGCTGTGTTTTTCAGAGCTTTGTAGGTTTGGGGGGTGTGTGGGGTGGGAGGGGGGTGGGGCGGTGGGGGCGTAATAACATTCCTGTTGACCTTATCCTTCTGAGCCCAAACCCTGAAACCCAAACCTTTGTGTCTGTTGTACAAAGAGGGACGAAGCCGTCAAACCAGTTTTTTTGGATGTTTTGGGCATGGTCGCCATATGTGAATTGGCGTTGCTACCCCCCTTTCCCCGACCCAAAGCAACACAGAAAGAAAGAACAAAAGACATAGAAAGCAAGAAGCAAGAAAGAAAGCCAGAGCGAACAACAGGGCCTGACAAAGTTTCGTTTGGAGTCTGTGCCAAAACACTGCTGCCGCCTGCGTTTTGGCACGTTAATCCTCTGGAACTATAGACTGTCTCAGGGGTTCGTGGCCTGCGACCTGATGCGTCCTGCTATGCATAATTTGTTTTCCCAGGTCTTTGACAGTATGCGCCGAGAAGCTATGTACACAAACGCAAGGCGCACTGCAGGCGCCGTTACCTATTTATTTACTATTACTATGAATGTTACAGCGGTAGGGGCCGGCCCTGCCGCCTTCGTAGCCAACAGCAAGAGACAGCGATACAAGAGTAACAGTGGCAAGGGACAGTAATTACGTAACAGGACAAGAGTACATCATAGTAGAAGTAGGAGTGGTCGGAAGAGTAGTGGTGAATGACAGTAGTATAGTAGGGCCCCTAAAAGTGAAACAGACCCCCAGTGATGCTGATGATGCTGGCCCTCTTGGGTCATCAGCATCATTGGGAAGCCATTTCTCCATTTGTTGGCCCTCCTGTGCCTCTGAGCCTGTCCTTCAGCCCAAACTCTTCTTGGCCCAGGCCGTTTGGACGGGCCTTGTTGCTAGAATCCGCACTCATGGGGACCCCAAAATTCCTCAGAATCCTTCCGTGTGCTGGGGGAAGCTTGAAAATCACGGGTGTATCTGAAACTGCCTTTAAGCGCTGATGAGTCTTGCGCACAGAGAGCAATCATCAGCACTCAACAGATCTTTTGGTCACTTGCACGCCTTGTTGAGCTGTTCCAGCGGCTTAAGCAGCCCTCAGCTCCGCAAATGCCGCCTTTCAAGTGACCAAAACCTCGCAAAGTCATCGGCGCCGCAATAGCGACGCCTGTGTACAGTTATGGAAAGCCCGCCAAACCATGTTGTAATCCTCACGAAGCATTTGCACGTGCTAGACCTGAAAAACACACACACAAATCCCGTAAAACCCACATAAACCCTCCAGAAAACCTGCATAAAACCCATCATAAACCTTGGAACCTATCACCACACCTGTCAACCGTTTCTTGATACTGTTTGTATGGAAACCCATCATAGCGCTCGCAAAGACTCATGGTAGCCTTTCTGGTTTCAGCATCAATCGTCATGAGCCCTATCAGGTCTGGCTCAGCAAGCCCGGGCAGCCTAGAAGCCTTGAACAGGAGCAACCAGACACCAATGATGCTCATGGCATGGCCGAACGCTCCACAACCCCAAGCCCTGAATAAACCCAAGCGCCTTCTCAGAAAAGAAGGGGCGGGAGAGAACGGTGTGGGAGAAAAGGGAAGATCGATCAAAAAAAAGGAGAGCAACGAAGGCAGGTTTACTGTGCGCCGGACGCCCTGGGCAGGGTTGGCGGATTCATGTTCCTATCATTTTTCATACGACTATTCGCATTCTACTTTTTCAAATCGCCACTAAGCGATGCCATTCCAAGGAGCCACAAGAAGGCAAGACCTATGCTCGCCACGCTGGTTTCGTTGAGGCAGGAACTTACATGGATCAGAACATGACTTGGGCACATGGTCTGCAACGATCAGGGCACCGACCTGTTTGATGTGAACTACTTTGGCTTGGGCACTGCCGAGGAGCGGCTCTTGGATCTGAGGTTCCCGGTGTCTCTGCCATGGCTCTTTTCTTGGGCAGGCAAGGACCACCGACCCTCAACAGCGAATGCTGCTGGGAGCAGCCTATGATGCCCTTCGTGGGGATGGCCTCCCGGGCAGAATGGTATAGTCCCGGAGCGCCTGGAGTGACCTGCAACTCAGGTTACGACAAGTCGCTTCTACAGAACAACCCCTTGGTGCCCCGGCGTAAGGAAATACACTAGTACTGTAGTAGTTTCCATTTTTTCCGATTATCCCAATGTAACCCATATACTGGGATAATGGAAAATAGAATGGAAACCACTAGAGGCAGCAGTGGAACTTACCGAAGCATTTGCCTCTGCATCTGAGGGCGTCTTCACGGCTCTGAGCAACATGGAGTGGTTCCAGTTGGTGGTCCCCAAAGCTGGGGTGTACACAGGGCCTGGTGTCTCCAGTGCCATTGCTGCAAACCGCATCAGAGCCTCGGCAGCATGTTGTTTTTTGTATGGTGTGTGCGGGTACCCAACTCGTGTGCAACCTGAGCTTTCACAGGGACATCTAGCAGTCTTGAACCAGGAAATGCACTGCATGGAGAAACCCAGGCTACGTCTTCGGCCTGAAGGGTCCCAGCATGACGGCCGTAGTCTCAAATTTCAGGAAGTGCACATAATCTCCAGAGCATCTAATGGTGACTGAGATCGACACGGCTTGCTCATCTTCACTCTCCGCCTTGCATGCAGCGCTGCGCTCTCTGGAGGCGAGCTGGCAGAGCATCAGTGCGAGGGGAGTCGCAAGATATGGCAGCTCAGGGAAGACTCATGTGTGTGGCAGGGCCGACGATCCCATGGAGTACGTGGTGCCTTGCTTTCAGCCGCCGAGGCATTTCTTCGTGCCAGGTGATCTGGTGCTGCTTGCTGTGAAGTTGCAGGTTCTGCACGGGCCCAGCAGTTTTGTGCTGCGATCCGTGGCTGGCATGCTCTCCCCAGATGGTCGTTGCAAGACTTTTGACGCTACTGCAGACGGCACCTTGGCTGTCTGTGGAGAACCGTCAGACCTGATGTTCATCTTGGGCACGAGAGTTGGATTCCTCGCCGTGAGGTTACATCCGGGGCGAAGGTGCTGGCGCCATGCTGTTGAAGTCCTCGGCCGATGCTGAGGAGGGTCGATGCCAACAAGTAGCAGAAGTGGCTGCGGCGGCCGCTAGCCCGCACAGCATGAAATCTCCACACTAACGCTGGCAATGCCTCAGCGAGAGAGACTGAGGTGATGAACCAAGATGGCAAGAGTGCCACACTGACCGCCCCAAATGGTCACTTGCCCGGATTGATTGTAGCGGAGGACAACAAACGCCAAGTTTCCATTGCCATTCTGATCGTCGTTGCTATAATTCGTGTTGGCATTTCTGCTATCACTCTTGAAACATGTTCATCATGTTGCTTGTATAGTTGGTACCTCAGCCGTCACAGCATTATTGGGAACTGTTGTTTTGGGGTTTTGTGGATAGGAGTCATTTTTGTATATTGTTATTTTGTCAGTGAGATCACCACGCATTTTTTCAGCGGTGTCGCTAGAAGCTTCCACGAAGTGCTAGAGCGCTGTAATCATATGGCAGAAAAAGCAAAGCTGTTAGTGTTATCATCACTAGCATGATGATTTCTCCTAGGCCTTCTACCATTCCAGGAAAAGTGTAGACTCCGGATTATGAAATCTCCATACCTGGAGTTATGCCAAAATAGAACAGCCGTTTAGTTCACCAGAACCCTTCAGGCCTTCTCAATAAAAAAAAGGTCCTTCAGATACCAAAAGTTCAGTCTGGGACACAAAACCCATGAATTCCACAAACCATCATACTACCTAATTTGAGGTTGACCGCCCCGTAGGACGCCAAGGAAACCCTAAACCTAAGCTGGGGTACGGAGGGCGCCTGAATCTGTTTTACATACACTTTTAAGCCGCAAACCCTAGACCCTCAACCCTAAATCCTAAATCCTAAATTCAAATCAAAAGGTCCGACCAAAAAAAAACAATTAAACCATATTAAACCCTAAAGCATATTAAACCCTAAAGCCCCAAAGAGACAGGGAGTCCTCCGCACGTCGAGGTCCCAGCCAGGAGGAGCTTCTGCAGCTGGCACTGCGCGAGGCGCAGCTTCCGGCCCTGGCACTGGGGGCCGTGGAGTGTGGCCTTGCCGCATCATATTAGGGTTTAAGGTTTAGGGTTTTAGGGTTTAGGGTTTAGGTTTCCCCAAGTTAGGGGTACCTTTAAAGGGGATATACTGTTTATACAGGGGCTTATATAGGAGGTTACATAGGGGTTATATAGGGTTTAGGGTTTCCCCGAATTAGGGGTACCTTTAAAGTGGATACAGGGTCTATACAGGGGTTTATATAGGGGGTTACATAGGGGTTATATAGGGTTTAGGGTGTAGGGTTTCCCCAAATTAGGGGTACCATTTGGGAGGTCCTAATAATAAGGATTATGTTGGGGTCCCCTCATTTTGGGAAACTACCTTATGCTGCCCAAGAATATGACTAAATCTACTAAATATGAACAACTATTACTAGATATTACTAGTTATTGATACATTACTATTACTATTACTTGGGGTTATGTAGGGTTTAGGGCTTGGGTACTACTAAAGGGGCTATTAAGCGGGATTCTAGGAGTTTAGACTATGGCTCATATGGGATGCTGTCAAGATTCGCCGTATAAAGGGATCCTTAACAGTGGACTTAGGGGTCACTCCTGGAGTTTAGTATAGTTTCTAAGATAGTCCCTGATAAGGAACTCCTGTTCATTCAATTATGTAGGACATATTGACTGTAGCTCCTATGCATCCTTTGAGGTGTCCGGGAAACACGTAGAAAAGTATCATTGTGAACATAAAATCCATGTGAATGGTGTTGACAAGCGCTCCTTGCTGGTATTTTGCATCTACCCATAAGATGATAGGGGTGGCTGTGGCCTTGGGATGCCAGCAAGCATGTTAGCTACATGTTCTGAGGCCACGGAACAGGCACAGCTCTCGGAGACCCCATCGAAGTGGGAGCCATGAAAGCGGCCATTGGGCACCTTGGAGAAGTCAGTAGCGAATCACTGATGGGAAGAGGTCGTGACTTGTGCTCAACTGAGGCGATCGACTGATCCAAAGGACGTGCTTCCACTCTTCTTGGCGGCACCTTGGAAGCAAGCTCTTCGAGCATGTAGCAATGTAGCCATGTGTGGCCAACTGAAATAACAAGGCAGGAAAGTCAAATCATGGGCACCTCGAGGGTGCTGCAGGCAGCTTGGAGCCCGCAATGAGCATATATTGGGGTAATATTGGGGTTATATTGGGGGTAATATTGGGGGTAATATTGGGGTTACATTGGGGCTATATTGGGGTTATATAGGGGTTATATGGGGGTTATATAGGGGTTATATGGGGGTTATATTGGGGGTTATATTGGGGATATATTGGGGATAATGGACAATAACATGGAAACTACTATATTATCAGTGGGCAGTGGCGGTTGTAGCAAGCTGCCCCTGGCAGGCTTTGCTGGCCTGACGAAGGTCCGTGTCTCAGGGGCTAGAGCTTGAGCTCTAACGTGAGGTTGTGACAGGTGCAACATCCATAGATCCTGAGGTGGCTGCCTGCTTACAGCGCGGGGAGATTCCTCCAAACATCCACTTTCAGGCAATTCTACGTATGCATTTGACACAGCCTGTCGCACAAGTCATTTGCTAAGTCCATTCTTTTGGAACCTGCTAAAACAGCAGAGTTACCAAAGAACAGTGTGCCCTGCTCTGTAGGAGCTCAATCCGCACATCTCCTTGGAGCAGTCACGCCTCAGTGTACCGACATCCACAATGAAGCTTGAAGCTGGTGCCAACCAGGCCTTCCCAAAGCCTCTGAATTCAGTGCGACGTTGCGCTGTGCCATGCACGCCATTTGTGAGATGCTCCCAATTGCAGGCGGCTCCCGCCATGGGTGTGTCCTCCTTCGGATTTGGTGGCACAAACACGCACGCGTGGCTTGGATAAACGGATTGATAAGTGCCCGTGTGCGGCAAATCTTTCTCGGGCCAGGCATGTGCTATGGATTTGGCAAAGTCCCACTGAAGTCAGGACTGAATTCTGAGTCCGAGAGTTCTGAGGCTGCTGATGTCATCGCAGGCACGCACCGTGGAGCTCTCAGTTGTGTTCTGGACCGATGGGCATGTCACACGAACTGTCGAGTCGGCAAGAACCGCGCCAGAAACACTGCAATGCAGCGACTCAGTGCAGCATGCTTGTAGCTTGTCTGCCGCCACCATTGGAAAGGGCAGATCGACATTGGTAGGACTCTGCTAACTCCAGTTTCTGAGGGTGCTGCGGCTGAACCGCAGTGGCCCAAGCGCGTGGCCTTCCTATTCACAGGCGCCTTTGGGAGCCCTTTGGGACTGAGAGCCGAGTACCATCCAATTGTGCAGGGCAAGGCTCCCAGCTGCCAGAGATGGGGAAGAAGCTTTATAAGACTGACGCCGCTCCGGTCGCACTTATGCTGTCACTTGCCCGGGTGATAAAGAACGTCATGTTAGAGGGGCCTTTCCTGACAGGACGACTTCCGAGCTGCGCTGGACCGCTGCGCACAGGTGCTGGAGGGCCACTCCCTGTTGGAACCCACTGGGGACCCTTTGCTCAAACTTGGCTTCAGCAGTGGCCTAAAGACAACTGGTTTGTGTTGAGAATTCCGCCCTGGGCAGCTTTCTTGGATCCAGGACCTCAGAGACTTGCTCTTTGCTGACGGTCCAGAAGCTGCATCAAGGTTTGATCAGTTTTGCGCTCAGCACGCGTTGTCATCCAATTTCATCACTCGTCTCAGCTGTGTTGGCGGCCAAGGTCTACATCACTTTCCCAGCTGGCGATTTTCGCCTTGGAGTATGCTCTGAGTGAGATGTGGAAGGCGAGAGGTCTGCAGCCCTTCGCGGTGCTGGGGCACAGTGTGGCTTGGGCTGAAGGTTCATGATTCTGGGTTGCTGTTAAGG